TTATTGTGGTGTTATTGAGATGTTATTAAGGTGTTATTGTGGTGTTATTTGGGCTTATTGTGACGGCTCTGTGGTGATATTTGATTGGTGTTATTGAGGTGTTATTATAGTATTATTGCAATATTATTTTGGTTTTCTTGAGATGCTATTGAGGTGTTATTTGAGTGATAATGTGGAGGCTCTGAGGTGGTATTCGACTGGTGTTATTGAAGTGTTATTATGGTATTAATCTAGTATTATTTTAGTGTTTTTGAGGTGTTATTTCGGTTGTCTTGAGGTATAATAGTAGTATTTTTGTGGTGTTATTACAATATTATTGTGGTGTTATTGAGGTATTATTGAAGTGTTACTGTTGTGTTATTTTATGTGTTATTGTGGTGTGAGAATTGTATTATGGCGGTTCTATGATGGTATTTGACTGATATTATTATAGTGTTATTATGGTGTTATTGTGGTATTATCGTGATGTTATTCAGGTGTTACTAATGTGTTATTTGAGTAATATTGTGGCGGCTCTAAGGTGGTATTCGACTGTTATTATTGGAGTATTATTATGATGTTATTGTAGTATTTTTGTGGTGCTTTTGAGGTGTTTTTGTGGTTGTATTGCGATGTTATTATGATGTTATTGTAATTTTGTTGAGATATTATTATGGTATTATTGAGGTGTTATTTGAGTGTTATTTTAATATTATTATCGCATTATCACTGTGTTATTGTGGTGTTGTTGCGACAATGTTATGGTGTTAATGATGTATTATTATGACGTGTTTGTAGTAGTATTGTGGTGTTATTGCGGTATTATTATGGTCTTCTTGGGGTGTTATTGGATTTTTATTATGGCGGTATTTTTGTGGTGTTCTTGAATTTTCATTACAATCTTGAATGAATGTTCACTATATGACCATTGGATTATTGTTAATATATTTAGTAAATCACTTTATGTGATGTTATTCATGATGCCTCCAATACAATGTTTGATGTAGTATGTATAAGATTCTAGAATTTTTTTATTGCAGATCTAAAATGAAATTTGCAAAATAAAATAAGCATGTACAATGTCACATAACCAAAACTTTTGATTGGGAAAAGTATAATGTTTGTTACTTGATATGAAAACTAATAGTATCATGCAAATAATAATTTAATGGTTTCTACAATGAACAATATAAATCAAACCCATAAAAAATCACACATGTAGCATAAAATCATGTTCTAGCACAAAATCTATACCGTTTCCAACACCTCAATAACAACATAATAACACCAAAATAATACCGTAATAACATCAAAATACCTATATGGACAAAGTACAACCTCAATGCTAAGGTAACTTGCTTTACTGAATTTATCTCCAATTTTTTATTAATCATTCCAAAATCTCTTACATCAATTAATTGCTAAATTTATAAGATTTTCGTACAAACAAATTCAAGTACATAATTATAAATTAAAGAATTTGTATGTCTCCACGAATGGAATCTAACATCAGGTTGGTATATGTTTTTGTGGATAACGACGTAAACAACTCGAGGATTTATATGTCTCCACGAATGGAATCTAACATCAGGCTGGTATATGTTTTTGTGGATAACGACGTAAACAACTCCTGCTATGTTGGAGTAATCATGAGTGAAGCTTTAAGAAAAAAGTAACAATAAAAAAATTCTAAAGATGTTCAATTTCTGCTATATACATGCATGACACAATCCGACATTGCACACAAATTTGTGTTGCATGAGGCTAGTTCTTGGCTTGATGAAGGTTCTTAATCTTTTTCTATATTACAAACCATATTTTATGTTCGAGAAACGTAATGATACATATAATGAAGATGATCTTGAATATAATAATATATATTTTTTACTCTCTTATTTTTCTCCCAACATTCTTTTAACCTAAAAGTAGATATTCCCTTCGAGGGCATCTTCGTTGGGTCATTCAAATTACATTCTTTATTAACATTTTTTTTTTATTTGATGTTTGCTTTGACAGAGTTACTCTTCCACTTACTGTGTCATCAACATCAACAGATAATATTTTCAGCAATTCTAATGTACATTGCTCAGCTTCTTCATTTCCAAGGGCTTTGGTGCAAATTTGATATGAAAACCTTCAGATGTGTGTATGAAATATGACACCACTTGAATAACCATTCCTCACTTATGCCTCTTCCAGATGTTTATATCCATAAATGCTATAGATGTGCCTTTTATCATGAACAGATCATCGCAGTAGAAGATACTTGTCGGATATCTTTGTTATATTTTCTAAACTGAAAACTCGTAGATAGTGGAAACATAATAGGCCCATCATTTCAAAAAATTTTCAACTGCAGCTTATTTTAGAATTAAACTTATCAAATTTAACAATCCAAGGTTTGTTTGTCCCCTGTTTATCCAAACTTTTAATGCAAAATTCTGAATCACTATTTGCAGAGAATTCTATTGTAAGACCACATAGCCCACGTAATAACTCTTCTTCGAACATTAAATACAGCTTCTTTGAATAAAATGAAGTTGTATCTCTCAACACTGGATTGCTTTTAACGAAGTAACTACAGACTAAACTACAATAATTTTACAATAATATCGCAATAACACCTAAATAACACTTCAATAACACCACAATATTATCACAATAACACTATAATAACATCGCAAATAATGTCATTGAATAAAATGAAGTTGTATCTCTCAACACTGGATTGCTTTTAACGAAGTAACTACAGACTAAACTACAATAATTTTACAATAATATCGCAATAACACCTAAATAACACTTCAATAACACCACAATATTATCACAATAACACTATAATAACATCGCAAATAATGTCATAACAACACATCAATAACAACTGAATAATACTAATAATATCATAATAACACCAGTTAAATACCACCACAATACCACTAAAATGACACCTCAATAACACCACAAAAATACTGCAATAACACCATAATAACAATGTAATAACACATCAATAACATAATAATATCGCAATAACACCATAATAACACCACAATAACACCAATCAAATATCACCACAAAGCCACCACAATACCACTCAAATAATACCATAATAACACCTCAGTAACATTACAATAACACGCAATAAAACCATAATTACATAACAATAATGTCATAGTAACTTCATAATAACACCACAAATAATGTCACAATAACACCTAAATAACACAATACCATAATAACATCGCAATAATGTCACAATAACACGTTAATAACACATGAATAACACAACAATAATATTGCAATAACATCATAATAACATCGGTCGAATATCACCACAGAACCGCCATCATATCACTCAAATAACACCTCAATAACACCCCAAAAATACTACAATAACACCATAATAACACTTTAATAACAACACAACAATAACCTAATAACACCTCAACAATACCACAATAATATCATAAACAACATAATAACGCCATAAAAAATACCAGTTGAATACCGCTAGAAACTATCATAATATCACTTAAACAATACCTCAATAACACATCAATAACATCACAAAAATATCACAATAACATCATAATAGCACCTCAAATAACATCACGATAATATCTCAAAAACGTCTATCGCAATAACACCATAATAAAACCGTAATAACACTAGTCAAATACCACCACAGAGTCACCACAATACCACTCATATAATTCCACAATAACACCTAAATAATATCTGGATAACACAATAATATTGTAATAACACTCTATTAACACTGTAATAACACCCGTCGAATACCTCCATAGAACCGTCATATTATCACTCGAATAAAATCTCAATAACACCTCATTAACATCTAAATAACACCACAAAAACATCACAATATAACTCACATCTATTTCAAACTACTCACCATTATTTTCAGATTCAATCACCTCTATTTCAAACATTTCACAATTTTTTCAGATTCCATCACATACATTTCAAACTTCTCACCATTTTTTCAGATTACATCATCAATATTTCTTGTATGATAAAAATATAATTATGGACAGAGAGAGTCTAGACAGAGAGAGAAGCAGAAACAATCATTTTGCGAAACCCCACCCATAATGTTAGAAGAAAATAGAGTCTTTCAGCGCGAAGGGTGTTGTTTTTGAAGCAATGGGTGGGATAAGGTCGGATCATGCATTAAAATATTTAAAATATAAATAGTTTCATTTTTATTCAGTAAGTCCGCTTCCTTACACTCGCCTACATCTCATTGGAGCCCGGCTCTGTCCAGACTCGGGATGCAATTTTTTCCCCTTTATTATCGCCGTCCAGTCGCCTCCGTAGTTTGAAACCTCACCGTCGCCAGCAATGATGAGACGCTATTCCTCACCTTACGTTGTTCCGTCAGCAAATCGCCGGAATTGAAATCACTCGTGCCACTACTGCTCACCGCCGAAGATGGGTCAGGGCTTGAGCTGTGGCCCGCCGAGCATTGAACCATATTTCTTTGTCGCGTTTCAGTTCAACCGAGCATCGAATCACATAAAAAAATCTAATCATTTGTTTGATTTCACTCCGAAAACTCCTCTTACCCTGGCCTCCATGTGTGGGGTGATTAATTGCGTGGAGAAACAAATTATCCAGTCTGGAGCTACTATGTGGTTTCTCCCTTCTCTTCCTCCTAGCTTCCCTTTAATCTATTCTGGAGATTCTGATAAGTCATAGCTCAATGAGCTTTTGTATCTGCTTGCTTTCAGATCTTAATGTTTGATTCGGTGAATGGATGAACTTGCCTCCACTAAACATACGACCAATTATAGGCCATAAGTATGTAAAAATATGGTTTCTAAGTGTTTGGCATATAAAAAAAAAAAAAAAACACAAGAATTGGGTCGCATTCATGTATATAAAATCCCCTTTATACATTTAACCCTAAAAGAATTAATTAGCTCAAAACGGAAGAAAAGTGAAATTTGAGAAAGAAATATTTTATGCAAAAAGAAGTTATTGTTTTGAAAGGAACTCACCGGCGACTATGAAGTAAGGCCGCCGGCGATAACCCCTCACCGGAAACATATCAGTTAGAATCCCCCACGCGGGCTTCAAAATCCATGGAATATAATAGAAACCTATGTACATTTGAACCGCAGAAGGCTGAACTTTCTGAACATCTTTCCAGTAGAAATCTGAAACTACTTTGAAGAAAGAGCCGGAGAAGCCTTGGCTCAGACCGTAAACTAGCATGACACCGAGAACGAAGCTGGTGTTCAGCTCTCTGCAGAGCTTTCTGATCCATTGGTATGGCTGAGAGAGGAGGCCGAAAGCTACGGTGGCGCCGGTGGAGTTTTCCGGCGGTGGGGGGTGGAGAAGGTCTTGAGATTCTGAGGAGGATTTCATTTTGTTGGGTTGTGGGGTTAGGGATGGACGGGGTCTTAACTTGAAGAAGAGGAGGAAGTTACTTTGTTTAATTAGAAGTAGTTGTTTTGAAACTTCTTCAATTCATACTATGACCGGAGAGTAAGTACTTTCTTATGGACATTTGCATATACATTACCCAATTCTTATGCATTTGCATATCAAATATATTTTTTGTTTTTATTTTAATATTATCAAAAATTTTTGATCACATCAAATATACGAAAAAAATTTCTGACTGGACTCCGGACATAGTTCTATGTGTGGACTCTAGTGATATGCCTCCATATATGTTACATCGAGGAGGTTATTGAAGTGAAATCGCAGAAGTTAATTAGAGGGTTATGAGAGGGTTATTGCAGAGGTTAATACATGAAGTTATTGAAGTTGAACCGTAGAGGTTATTGAGTGTTATTACGGGGTTATTACAGAGTTATTGAAGTGAGACCACTGAGGTTATTGGAGGGTTATTTAGGGTTATTGCAGGATTTATTGAAGTTGAACCATAGAGGTTATTGAGGGTTATTGAGGGATTATTGCGGTGTTATTGGAGTTAATACCGCCAATAACCCCCAATAACCTCTAAATAATATTTACAATTTCACTCCAATAATCTTAGTGGTTCCACTCCAATAATCTCAGCAGTTCCACTTTAATTTTTTTTTAGGTGGATCCGATATAGCACGCATGACAATATATTACTGAGAGTCTGCACATAGAGCTACGTCTGGAGTCCGGACGTAAGGCTTTTCCCAAATATATATATGTAAGATGGGCTAGCAGTATGCAAGTTTAGATATAAGGCAAGCAAATACATCAGAACTCATCAGTTGAAAGAATGAAGTCTTCTATTTATCTAATGTTAAAAGAAAATTCAGTCAATTTTAATAAGATTATGATATTTTAATTGTATTGTTTTGTGATTTTAATTTATAGATAAAATTCAAAAATAATGTAGATAATTTAATATTTATATATAATCGAAAGGAAAAATGTAAAGAATAAATTATTTGCCACTTTTTTTTTATATTATCAAAATAAAAATTAGGTAAGAATAGTGAGAATAGTTTTTTATTTATCCTGTATATAAGCTGCGCTTGCTAGTAGTGTTAGGGGTTGCTTGGCTACGAATATGATTTAAGAGATTTTAGTATCCCTTGGAGAACTAAAACTTTTAGAAAAAGTTATTATAGATATTATATCTGATTGAACTATAATAAATTGTTTGAAAAATATTTTTTTGGATTTGAAACTTAAAAGAGAAAAGAAGAGAGGTGTTCTCTTGAAGATTTATCATAAAATGAGATTTAGGATGATAATATAGCTCATAAAATTGTATAGTCTAATGTCGTGTGACGTAGCTTTACGTGCGGACTCCAATAATATGTCGTTATATGTGCTACATTATGAAGGTTATTTTGGGGTTATTGAGGTGGAACCGTGGAGGTTATTTCGTGATTATTAAAGAGAAACTCGTATATTCCACTTAAATATTCCTGAAAGGACTCCGAAATAACATCCGCGGTTTCACTTTAATAATCCCGAAATAAAACCGTGGAGGTTATTTCAGGATTATTAAAGTGAAATACATAAGTTTATCTTTAATAACCCCGAAATAAACTTCGTGGTGTTGTTTTAGGGTCATTGAAGTGGAACCACAGATTATTTCGAGGTTATTATGGAGTCTGTGATTTCATTTTAATATTTTTTAGGTGAGTTCAATATAACACACATAACAATATATTACTGGGAGTCCGCACTTAGAGCTGCATTCAGAGTTCGGACAAAAAATTTTTCCTCGTGACAGAACCTAAAGTTCTAGGATTAGGAATTAAATAGTTGGTCAGGTTGAACTAAAAGTACGTCCCAAAGGAGGATTGTCAAGCTTCTCAACTAAGCACCAGTTGCCAAGCACGAGAACCTTTAAAATTCTATCTCGAGCTTACTTTTTTATATGATTGAGGGATACTTCGATTTACTTAAGCCATATGTATAAAAGTTTATATTGACAATTTATTGTGCATTCAAATAAAACAAAGAAGATTTACATAGATACCACTCAATTTTTTTTATTTACATATCTAATATCTGAACTTCAATTTTTATATATATGCCACCTTATATATAGGGCTGTCAAAAATGCTTGTTGTTCGCGAACAGTTCGTGTTCGGTTCAGTTATATATATTAATATTAGGGGTGTCAAATTGGCTCGTCGTTCGCGAACAGTTCGTGTTCGGGGTTCGTATTCGATTTGTTCGGTAAGTAAACGAAACGAACGTGAACCAATTTGTTTTCGTTTGTTTAGTTAAACGAACCAAACACGAACAGTGATGCATTTGTTCGTGTTCGAATCGTTATTGTTCGAAATATAACATAATTTAAAATAATTATAAACAAAAAATTTATGATATTTTAAATATATATCTATGAAAAGCTGCCAATCACTTTTTAAAACTTAAAATATTGATATTTTTGATGTAATATGAGACTTCTATGTGCTATACATATAACAAGAGCAAATTTAAGTTGTTAGATATGTAAATACATGAGAATTGGGTGATATGTATGAAAATGGCCCAATAAAAAATTGGATTTGTTCAGCAAGAGGAGAAAAGATCTACCATATAAGTAACATCTGAATTTGCTGCTACTAATTTACGTTAGGTTTGTGGTAGACTTGTCAGCCATTGGTTAGCTTGCGGTAGAATCGATCGGCCACATAATAGCTCTCGAACTTACAGTTAATTTGTTCATCCATTCTTTAACGGCTGAAAAAGCAGTCACAAACCTGTACTAAAACTTTAAAAAATATCGAAAGCCAATTAAAATTTTTACACCTACAAGCATGGATCATAACACTTGACAATAACATCAATTGTATCTCACAAAAGAAAGAATTAACATAGAGAACGGTTAACAACGAATGAAACCATCATACAGATCATAAGAAATTTAGTAAATCATCAAACACGTAAGTTCCTTTAAAAAATCTAATACATAAATATTGTTAAACGCATAGCCGTTAATGAATTTAAGAGACTGTAACCGTTGACATATTGTTCTTCAATGATCTAAGATTAGGTAATATTTGGCTTTAGGTATTATAAGTTCACAAAAAGTTGTCTCTTAAGGTTCTAGCTACCTCATCTTATAATACTCCTATAAATCTTATCCCGCTTTACTATTATATTTTGTTTTACCCTTATTATCCATTAAAATATTGAACATATATTATAAAAAAAAAGTTTTTAATGTGCATGGCATCAAGATTATGACTAATCAACTGCTCTTTCAGTACAATAGATCCCAGAAAGATCCCATATTGTCCAATTATGTGTAACAATGAAATCAAGAAGATGGTGCAAATATAGTTCTGGGAAACGGTGATTCTTAGAATTTCACCAACCATGTGCCACAAATCCTCCCCAGTTATTAATGGCGGAGGCCTTGATTTTTCAACTCTATTTTTTAAAAAGACATCTTAATTCCTTCTGAATGGGTGATCAACAAGTAACAAAATTCAATGACAATTGAACCATAATTTTTTCTTCCATGTTTAAAAGTAAATGTCTTTGAAATATCCATACAGTAAAGGCAAGCTAATTTTCCTGCAGTGCACCAACCAATATCTACCGAAATATTGAAAAATCACTTATTAACCACAATAGGATGGCGTTCAGATGAATTTTTTTTTGTGGCAATACAATATGTCACCACACATGTTTTCCATAAAGTTTGAAACTCATATATCAAATGTTATAAGTACACTTCATTATTTCCCATAAGGCTATGTAGACCTGATATGATTAATACACATAATAAATGACTACTTTTTCATATACATTTGTATGCTTATTTTTAATGATATTACACTTTAAAGGAATGTATTTTGCATGTTTTTGCCTTTAGATACAAAAAATAGACTTTTGGAGAAAATGAAGCAAAAATGATGCAATTTGGAGTAAAAACGAGCAAAGAATAAACATTTCGATATGTCTTTATATGCTTAATCTCCTTTACATTTATCACATATTTTTTAATGAAATTACACTTTAAAAAAATGTTATTTTCATGTTTATCTTGTAGGTATAACAATTTGGAGCTAAACGGAGCTGTAACAGGGCGAAACAGAGCTGAAACTGGGCGAAATGAGGCAAAGCGATGGAACTGTCTGCAAGGTGGCGCCTAGGCACCCGAAACTGGTGCCTAGGCGCCGGAAGACAGAGATTACAGTTCCTAGGGGCCCAAAACTATTTTTGTTCTTGTGTGAGTGCTTATTTTTATAATTGTTACTTGTATTTGTGTATGCAAAAATTAGGATCCGAAGAATTAGTACCTTACGATTCGGAATTAGAACAAACTATAAGAAAAATTCGAAAACAAAAAGAACTTAACAAAATGACAAACAATTTAAATAATCAATGTATATAAAATGAATATCAACAGAGACCATTAAGAGACTATTCTAATCCTACAGTAGATAAAATTCACTTGACTATACAAACTCCTGTTGTAGCTACTAGTTCATTTATGCTTAAACCTACTATTATCCAAATGATACAAAATAATCAGTTTGGGGGAACAACATCTGAAGATTCAAATTTACATTTTGCTAGTTTTCTGGAATTTACATTTAAATATGATAGAGTGTCGAATGACACCGGCAGACTTAGACTTTTTCGTTTTCATTAAAGGGAAAATCTAAGATGGGGTTAAACTCTTTAGTACCTGGATTAATCAAAACTTGGTGAGAATTATCTCAGAAAATTTTAGCTAAGTATTTCCCACCATCAAAAATTGCGAAGCTTAGAAACGATATTACATCCTTTTATCAGTTTGATTGGAGAATTAATATATGAAGCTTGGGAACGATTTAAAGATTGGAGAATTAATATATGAAGCTTGAGAACGATTTAAAGATCTCCTTATAAAGTGTTCACACCATGCTTTACTAGATTTGTTAATAATTCAAATATTTTATAATGGATTAACGGGATCTCTTAGATCTATTATTGATGCTACTGTTGGTGGATCATTAATGTCAAAACCATTCGATGAAGCATATTC